CACCTTTGTTGTTTTCTCTTTCGTGTCTAGGAAGGCAAGGGGAAGGGGGGGGGCTTTCTAAGCTGGAGATGATAAAGTTATAGAATGGAAGGGTCCCCCATCCAATTCTAGTCCACGGTTCGATCTGTCTGAGCAGATGGCCATACCTTATTTCAGTTTGTAGGGAAGGAGCAGGAGGAAGAGGGCCGGCGGCGCTACGAGGAGCAGAAGATGGAGCGGATGGAGACCAAAGAGCGGAACGGAGACATCATCCTGCCCGTCATTAACCCAGGTAAAGGCATTGTGCAGAGATATATATATATATATATATATATATATATATATCTATATCTATCTATCTCCCTTTTTGTGGCCCATTTCGACTCTGAATCCACGCTCGAAGCTTATCTTCTCTCTTTCTCGTCCCCTTTTTTTGCTGCCAAACAGACAGGCAAAGGAAAGGTGAGTCTCTCAAAGCAGGAAACCACTATTGGGTTTATTAGTATTATAATAATATTTATTATTATTATATAATTATTATTATTGACCTTATTTATTATTATTATTATTTGCATTATTATTATTTGCATTATTCTCTGTTATTACTATTGTCAATCTTATTCTCTATTATTTTTGGTATTTTTCTCTAACAGTAATTATTTTCTATTAGTAGTAATTAATAATAATATAGAAAAATACCAATAATAACAGAATAATAATAATAGAAAATAATATCAATAATAAGTAATTATTTTCTATTAGTAGTAACAGTATTGGTATTCTCTATTTATTAGTATTAGTATTATTATCTATTATTATCAATATTTTCTATTCTTATTTCTATTCTTATTATTGATATTATTTTCTATTCTTATTATCAGTATTTTTCTATTATTATAATTGGTATTATTTTCTATTCTTATTATTCTCTGTTATTATTGGTATTATTTTCTATAGTTATTATTGGTATTTTTCTATAATATTAATATTGTTTCCTATTATTATTATTATTATTTGTATTATTCTCTGTTATTACTATTGTCGATCTTATTCTCTATTATTTTTGGTATTTTTCTCTAACAGTAATTATTTTCCATTAGTAGTAATAGTATTGGTATTCTCTATTTATTAATATTAGTATTATTATGTATTATTATCAATATTATTTTCTAGTCTTATTTTCTATTCTTATCAGTAATTTTCTATTATTATAATTGGTATTATTTTCTATTCTTCTTACTCTCTATTATTATTGGTATTATTTTCTCGTCTTGAGATGGTGATTGTTGTGTTTGTGCACATGTCTTTTTGTTTTTAATGTTGATGCAGTCAACAGACTATTCAATAAACTTTGCTTTTGGTATTATTTTCTATAGTTATTATTGGTATTTTTCTATATTATTAATATTGTTTTCTCTTATTATTATTATTAATTTCTATTAGTATTTTCTTTCATTATTGGTATTTTTCTATATTATTAATATTGTTTTCTATTATTATTATTATTTTCTATTATTATTTTCTTTCATTATTGGTATTTTTCTATATTATTAATATTGTTTTCTATTTTTATTATTATTTTCTATTATTATTTTCTATTATTAATATTTTCTTTCATTATTGGTATTTTTCTATATTATTAATATTGTTTTCTATTATTATTATTTTCTATTATTAGTATTTTCTTTCATTATTGGTATTTTTCTATATTATTAATATTGTTTTCTATTATTATTTTCTATTATTTTCTATTATTATTGGTATTATTTTCTATCATCGTTATTGGTATTTTTCTATATTATTAATATTGTTTTCAATTATTATTTTCTATTATTTTCTATTATTATTGGTATTATTTTCTATCATCGTTATTATTGGTATTTTTCTATATTATTTTTAATATTATTTTCTATTATTATTATTATTATTATTGGTATTATTTTCTATCATCATTATTGGTATTTTCCTATATTATTATTAACATTATTTTCTATTATTATCAATACCCGTGATTATCACGCATTGCTGTGGCTCAGTCTGTGTATATGTGTTTTGTGTGTATATATATATGCATATATGTGTATATGTGTATATATCTGTGTTTGTGTATATATGTGGTATTATTTCAGTTTTTACTACATAGTTTTTTGCTGCATTGCATTGGAAAGAATGGTGCAGTTGCAAAAAGTTGGGTCAAGAATTGAGAACCCCTTTGAAGGATATTTATTTACCAATGACCACTTTGGAGGACCACTTTTTGACCACGTTTGGTGGTTTTCTTTCCCCGCAGAGCCCTACACGGTGGGCTACAGCCAGTCCAGCCTCATCCACCTGGTTGGGCCCTCGGACTGCACGATGCTTGGATTCGTCCACGGAGGTAGGCCCTCCTCCATTGTATATCCTATAATAATAATAATAATAATAATAATAATAATAATAATAATAATAATAGTAATAATAATAATAATTGTAAGGCTGGCAAATACATCTCTGAATAAATCAATAATAATAATAATAATAGTAATAATAATAATAATAATTGTAATTGCAAGGCTGGCAAATACATCTCTGAATAAATCAATAATAACAATAACAACAACAACAACAATAATAA